AGGCATGCGCCACCATGCTCAGCTAATTTTTGTATTTTTTGTAGAGATGGGGTTTCATCATGTGGCCTTGGCTGATCTCGAACTCCTGAGATCAAGCAATCCACCGAGTGCTGGGAATAGTAACCCAATAGAATAATAAAAGTAATGAGCAGGCAATTTATAGAGAAAGAAAACAGAATGATGAAGAAACATATGAAAAGATGCTCATCTTCACTGGCAATGAAGTAGAAATTGAAAATGAAATGAAAACAATGTCTTACTTCATACCCATCAAATAGGCATAAAGAAAATGTGACAATGTTCAGCATTAGTGAGGATGTGGAACAACAGGAATTTCACTGCTGACAGGAAGGAAATCAACAAACACTTGGAAGGGTGACTTTGCAAGAGCTACACTCTTTTTTTTTTTTTTTTTTTTTTTTTGAGACGGAGTCTCACTCTGTTGCCCTGGTTGGAGTGCAGTGGCACAATCTCCGCCTCCCAGGTTCAAGTGATTCTTCTACCTCAGCCTCCCAAGCAGCTGGGATGACAGGCATTCACTACCACACTCAGCTAATTTTTGTATTTTCAGTAGAGACAGGTTTCACCACGTTGGCCAGGTTGGTCTTGAATTCCTGACCTCAGGTGATCTGCCCACCTCAGCCTCCCAAAGTGTTGGGATTACAGGCATGAGCCACCACACTAGGCCAAGAGCTACACTTCTACTGAAGAATTCCTGTTCAAGACAACAACCTTTAAGAATTTTACACTCTGCCAGGCATGGTGGCTCAGGTCTGTAATCCCAGCACTTTGGGAGGCCGAGGCAGGCGGATCACGAGGTCAGGAGTTGCACACAAGAAAACACAGATAAAAACTTTCAATACAGAGCTGTCTGTAGGTGCAAGAAATTGGAAATAAAGTCATGTTAGTCAATAGGACAACAGATAATGCATATTCATATAGTGGTATAGTATCACACAGCCATTAAAATTAATAACCTAGAGCTACAAACATCAACATGAATAACTCTCTCAAAGAAATGCTGTATGGGCCAGGCACGGTGACTCATGCCTGTAATCCCAGCACTTTGGGAGGCCAAGGCAGGCAGATCACCTGAGGTCAGGAGTTCAAGACCAGCCTGGCCAACATGGCGAAACCCCATCTCTGCTAAAACATGCAAAACTAGCAGAGCATGGTGGTGCACGCCTATAACCCCAGCTACTCGGGAGGCTGAGGCACAAGAATTGCTTGAACCTGGGAAGTAGGGGTTGCAGTGAGCTGAGATCACAGCCTGGGCGACAGAGCAAGACTCTGTCTCAAAAAAAAAAAAGAAATGCTGGATGACAAAAGTTGCAGAATGACAAAAAGACACTATTTTTAAAAAGTCTAAAAACATCTAAACAATATATAGTATATTTGTAAGTGTAGTATATATACTATTAAAGAGAATTTCCATCTATTTATAGAGTGTTTAACTCTGAGAAAGGAGGAAGAATGGGATCAGGTAGCTGCTAAAAATACTAAAGTATTTCACTGCATCTTGAATGTTCCTTTCTTTAAAAAAAGAATCAAGTATATCAAAATATTAGTACTTGACATAATTGCCTGGCAGGAATGGGAGTTCATATTTTGTATTTTATGCTGAAAATATTTCATAGTTTAAAAAGCTACAAAATATATTAGAAAAAACTTGGCTGTTAAGTCTACTATTCTTATTCAAAACCAAAAAACTTTTTTTTTAATTTTACTTTTTTATGAAGATTTTAACTTATTGTACAAAGAGTGGCCTAGTTAAGCAAATGTTATAAATTTGAATGTATAAAATGAATTTGTATTATTCTTATGCTATCAGTTATCTATGTTTATATTGGGATTTTTTATAAAATTTCACTGGAGAAAAGGACTGCATGACTGCATTTCACTGGAGAAAGTCTCAAGCTACTTCCTGGTCAATGTCTTCTAACACAGCAAAAGTCAAAAATACAGCAATACACACATTAAAAAGTCGCTTGGAAACGTATTCTCTTAAAAGTTCACAAATCAAACCGCTGCATCCGCAGTTTTGTAGAGGTAGAATTTGAGCTCAGCTTTGTGGGACACAAGTATATCTTTAAAGGAAATACTAAGGTTGAAAGGAGCAAACATTTAGCAATGAACGGTAAATAGCACAGAGGCAGAAAACTGGCAAGAAAGATTGCCTGGCTGAGTAAGGGGAAAAAAGATATGCAAACAAGAACCGGAGTTAAGGCTTAGAACAGAAAAGTCATGACTTGGAAATCAATGAATAAAGAAATGACATCTTCTCTGTTAACACTAACCACTGTGGCCCCGTCCCCCATGTTTCACTTTCCCCTTGGAATTCTACGAGAATGGCTACTCCAACCAGGCTCCACCTCAAGATTCCCATACCCCTCTAACACTTGAGCCCCTGTTGGGGAGAAGAGGCGGGATATAAGGATATTTTCTTTTTTCCCCTCAGAACACATCAAAGAAATCTTATCAAACAAAACAAAAAAATGAACCTAGATTTGAGGAATTCCAATAAAATGTTTAAAGAGCTCTAATACTACCAAATCTAGTATATTCTTCAGGGCTTGTAGGTTCCGATGCCAAGAAAAGATAGGAATTTGCCAAGAGTTCCCTACTTCCTAGCCTTTGACCTGCTTCCATTTGACAAGTCACATATCATCATCAATTCATGAATGCCTTCCTAAGACACCTTGATCCATCCTTTTCTCAGCCTCTAAGAAAAGGATTCCTTCCTCGTATGAATGTCGGAAAGACTGCTCACCCTTAAGCAAGACTCTTCATCTACCAAAAGAGATTAATCTTTAAAGGCCTTTAATCATAAAATGAGCATATCATACACTAGCAAAAGGTGGTTACTTTCTGTTGTGAAAGTGCTATCAGAGAATGGGGGAAGGAGGCTGGGCGCAGTGGCTCACGCCTGCAATCCCAACACTTTGGGAGGCCAAGGCGGGCAGATCACTTGAGGGCAGGAACTCAAGACCAGCCTGGCCAACATGGTGAAACCCCCATCTCTATTAAAAATACAAAAATTAGCCAGGTGTGGTGGTGCACACCTATAGTCCCAGCTACTTGGGAGGCTGAGGCAAGAGAATTGCTTGAACCTGGGAGGTGGGGTTGCAGTGCAGATCAGGCCACTGCACTCCAGCCTGGGAGACAGATTCGTCTCAAAAAAAGAAAAAAAAAAAGGGAAAAGAAAAGAAAAAAGAAAAGGTGGGAAGGAGAGGATACTGTCAACACCTTCTCAGAGAAAGCTCCTATCTGAAGGTCCTTGTCTTTTCTTCAGGTACTATGTTTCAAATAAAGAGAGAATGTAAAGTTTCTTGTATATTCCTGGCAATATACTTATCGTACTAAATTACAATTCTTACGTCTGTATGTTTCCTTCATTAGACTGAGAGTTCCTTGAAGGCAGGAACTCACAGTCTATTTACTCATTTTGTGTTCGTAGGTTAACACAATGTTTGACACAGTAATTATTCATTATATGTCTGCTGAATGAAGAGTGAACAAAGGAATGATCAAAAAAAAAAAAAGGTAATAAAAATCTCACTGAATCAAGGAGAACAAGTGAAAAAGACAATGACAATGTAAAGTAACATTCCTATAGATAGCTCAAGCCAAATTAATGACTTTCTTTGTGTGTGTGTGTATGTGTGTGTGTGTGTGTGTATACATAGATATATACATATTTTTTGAGATGGAGTCTTGCTCTGTTGCCAGGCTGGAGTGCAGTGGTGAGATGTCGGCTCACTGCAACCTCCACCTCCTGGGTTCAAGCGATTCTCCTGCCTCAGCCTCCCGAGTAGCAGGGACTACAGGCACGTGCCACCATGCCTGGCTAATTTTTTTGCATTTTGGTAGAAACAGGGTTTCACCATGTTGGTCAGGCTGGTCTTGAACTCCCGACCTCAGGTGATCCGCCCACCTCAGCCTCCCAAAGTGCTGGGATTACAGGCGTGAGCCACCGCATCTGGCCCTTGCTTTGTACTAACGATTTAAAATGAAAAGTTTCAAGATATGAAAAACGCAACATGTAATTTTCCTTCTATGATATATGTGCAAGTCCAACTTGAGCTCCTTAGTATTTCATTCTACTTTTTCTAACTCCATTCTCTTGTCTAGAAGTTGCACGAGGGCCTCAAATTCATTCTTTCACCCTTAAAATGCCTTTGGGGTACTGAATTCAGCCATCCTTAAGCTAATATGTAACTACTTGAAGCTCTGGCTTATGGCATTGGCCATAAAATAATCTAGACACAGTTGTTTTGTTTTTGTTTTTTAAATTTCAACAGCAGTGCCTCCTTTACAACTGTGGGACTAAACTGTGATCCACTAAACCATGCTGGAGCCTCGGGAGCCAGGCAGGGAAAGGTTTAGAACAGAACAGTAGGAGTAATACCTCCACCAGAGAATTTTTCCATCAGAAAACAATCAACTTCCAAGAAAGATTTACCTTAAAGAAAAGAGTTCACGGTTTTTAAGTTTTAAAATCATTTGTCTAATTCTATTTTGTACCTTCTGTTTTATTTCATTAGGACAGAATCAAAGTGTTCTTTTAAAAGCAATTTTTTAAAAGTACAGGTTGCACAAAGGTAGTATGATTCAAACAAAAGAATAAATACTGCAATGAAGTGTTCCAAAAGGAAACAGTGAGCCTCAGAGTGATGTTTCCCAGATTTATGCCAGTCACCTGTATTCATCCACCAAGAAAAAAGTTGAATGAAATAAGGAACATACAAATTTGAACTATTTACATATATTATTTGACTCAAACATATTTTTTTTAAATGGCTTAGGGATTACACAACATACCAGAATAGGGCAGTTTCTGCAATTTCCTAATAACCAAATGTTAACTACGAAAGAGGTGAATTACTGCCCAAGATGTGCTGTATTCTTGTGAGTCCCCTTGCCCCAACCCCATTTTCAAGTTCTAAAAATTTACCTAGAGTTCTGTTAACTAAGGCTACAAAAAGAAACAAAAAACAAACCTGTAGTCCCAGCTACTCGGGAAGGGAAAACAGACGTGGAGGCTGAGGCGAGAGGAATTCTAGTCGCACCTGGCAACATAGTGAGACTCAGACTCTCAAAAATACATACATATATGTGTTTGTTTTAGTGTTACTCAAATTTCCAAAATAATTTCGTATACATCTTGTCCATGTTTTTCTCATTCTATAGTCACTCAGACCAGCGCTTTATGACCGCGACAAGTAAAATACTTGTTGTTCTGGAGTGTTTTGAGACTCGAGATTTCCTTTTCATACTCTAAAACAGAACATCTCCTAGCACCCGTGCAATCTTTGCAATTCGGGGATGAAGAGCAACACCTTTACAACTGCAATAAATCTTAAAACTACCCTATCAGGGATTGAATGCAAGAGTAATATAAATAATGGGAAGTAAGTTCTTCCTATCCAATGCGGCTGTCTAGGTGTTAAGTGTCTGGTGTTGGGCTTCTCTAGACAGCAGGGTCTCCACTGCTGCATCATCTTCAAAAAACGATGGGGCGGAGACAGAGATAACTAGCTGTCGAACGAGCAGGAAGTTTTTAATCACCAACTACACAAATACTTAATCAGTCCAGTCTCCAGCGAGCTCTTCCCAAATCCTACGCTTGCTAGGGAGAACGGCCCTTTGAGCGTCCCCAAATTCACGCGGCAGGAAGCACTCCCCAAATCGCTAGCGACGCGCCGAGGTTGCCCCCAGAAAAATCCCAACGTCGAAGTAGCGGGCAGCACCGCCCCTCCCCTCCCTACGCTTGGCTTCCTAGTCCGGAGTCGCTACCGCCCACTTTCTAGCTGGACAAACAGCAGTTCAGGGCCGGGCACAGAGCAGTCCAGGACCGGGCACAACACTCACCCACGTCTTGCTCGAAGGGGTTGGCGGTGAACAAAGGCATCTCGCCGGCGCCCGAGCCCTACTCACTGCTGTCTAGCTGAGACTCCGCAACTGCTCCCCGCCGGGTGACCCGCGGCCACGGCTCCCTAGACTGCTCCGCTTCGGCCTCCGTCCCCGCACTTCCGCCACCGCACCTGCCCGGCTCCTGCCTGACGGGCCGGCTCGGAGTCCACCCTTCGACCCCGCGCTCGCGTCCCAACTTTTCTCCCGGGGCAAGATCCCTCCGACCACGGGCGTCCTCCCAAGGCCTTTGTCGCTGCCCCAGTCCCAGACTTTTGTAGGGGTCAGGCGGCCGCTACGGCCACCTTTCCAGCGCTAGGACCCCGGCGAGCCACGGAGCCGGGGACCTTCGGAGCCGGAAGTAGTCCCGCCTGGAACTGGACGACCCCGGAAGTTGCAGTGCCGGCGGCGGCGCGGCAGGGGGCGCGGTTACCTGTGGTTTTTCGCGTTGGACGCCGGTTCTGAGGGCCATGTTCTTGTCGCGAATTTAGTTGGTTCCAGAGAGGCAAGACTCGTAGCTAGAGAACGAGGAGCCACGATGCGTACGCGTTACAGTCCTGTTTCCCTAGAAACGGAGCCGCCGGCGCAGTGGTGGCTTTGAGATTCTGCGAAAGACCTGACTGCTCTCGAACACTTACTGTGTTGCACCCTCCCTGGCGCCCAATCCAAACCCCGTCGGAATAACCACCCGGGACTGCGGTGGTCGAAGAAACTACGCCTAACTTTTCGCTTTCCATCGTGTCCCCCCATAAAAACACTGCTGGACCCCGGGAATCCAAAGGCGAAGGAGGCACACTCCTTGCCTTAGAGAATTTTATAGGGGCAGTGCATAACGTACATGATGGTGTAATGGCGATTCGGATAGTAGTACAAGTCATAAACTTAAGTTCCTATAGGATCCAGGCAGATATTTAAATGAATGCAAAAGCCCAAGCACCCTTCCCACCCACATATTCTCTGCTCCTCTTAGAAAACTGTAGTAATGATTATGTTGCCTGTCTCTCTCCTCCTCATTAGATTATAAACTCCCCGATGAGTTTTGGTCACTACTATATCCCCAGCGTCTAAAACAGTGTCCCAAGTAATAGGTACTCAATACTTTTCGAATGAAGCTGTAACTTTCTAACCGAACAATGCATATCTAAAGATGTCAACTACTGGCAAATTTCAGCCATTTGTTGAAATGTGGGTCCTACTAGAGTTTGCAATTTTTTAACGATTTTTAAATGTTGAGAATTACTCCAACATTTTAAATAATGGATTAATCAAAACCATTTTACAATCTCCAGTATAAAGACCTGATACTATAAAGAGAGAGCTCATACACATTCAGAAAGGTGGTTGCATTTTATAAAGTTAGGGGCACAAATGAGAAGGAATTGTGTAGGTGAAGGGGCTCTTTTTCATAGAATGTTGAACCTAGGATGTTCAAGATAAATTGGGAGGCTGGGCATGGTGGCTCATGCCTGTAATCCCAGCACTTTGGGAGGTCGAGGCGGGCAGATTGCTTGAGGCCAGGAGTTCAAGACCAGCCTGGCCAACATGGCGAAAACCCATCTCTATTAAAAATACAAAAATTAGCCAGGCATGATGGCGCAGGCCTGTAATGCCAACTTCTTGGGAGGCTGAGGCACGAGAATCGCTTGAGCCCAGGAGGCGGAGGTTACAGTGAGCCAAGATCAGGCGACTGCGCTCAAGCCTGGGCAACACAGCAAGACTGTCTCAAAAAAAAAAAAAAAAAAGTTGGAGATTTTTTGGGCAGATAAAGAATTTTTGTCTAACACTTAGTGTTGGAATGGAAAACAAGGCTAACTAGGGATAAGAGGAAACAGATTGAGAAGAATTTTAAAGGGCAAGCTGGGAAATTTTTATTTTAAGGCACTCAATAATTATTTAAGGATATTGAGTAGCAAAATAGTATAATTTTTTTTTTTTTTTTTTTTTTTTTTTTATGGAAATTTTATTTTTTAAGGCATTCACACAATTATTTAATGATATTGGAGTAGCAAAATAGTATAATTTTTGGAGGAGTCTCGCCTGTCACCAAATGGGATGCAGTGGTGAGATCTTTGGCTCACCACAAGCTCCGCCTCCCGGGTCTCACCATCTCCCTGAGTGGATGAGGTGATGGGATGAGGAGGAGGGTGGAGGAGGAGGAAGATGGTAGAAGAGCTTACTGGCAGATGTTTTTTTTTTTTTTTTTTTTTTGAGGTGGAGTCTCGCTCTGTCACCAAGGCTGGAGTGCAGTGGTGAGATTTTGGCTCACTGCAAGCTCCGCCTCCTGGGTTCACGCCATTCTCCCGCCTCAGCCCCCTGAGTAGCTGGGACTACAGGCAACCACCACCACACCCAGCTAATTTTGTTTTTGTATTTTTAGTAGAAATGGGGTTTCACCATGTTAGTCAGAATGGTCTCGATCTCCTGACCTCGTGATCTGCCTGCCTCGGCCTCCCAAAGTGCTGGGATTACAGGCGTGAGCCACCACGCCCAGCCGCAGAATGGTATATTTTTAAAAAGAGTTTTCAGAATATAGTCTGACATCAGTGTGCATGACATATATAAAAAAGCAGACCTAGTCAGAACAGTTTAAGAGGCTATTATACTTGAAACCATAAGAGAAAATATTGTGGAGAAGCTTGTATTAAGAGCAGGAGACTGTCAGGTGTGGTGGCACATGCCTGTAATCCCAACTACTTGGGAGACTGAGGCAGGAGGATCGCTTTGAGCCCAGGAGTTGGAAACCAGCCTGGACAACATAGCAAGACCCCAGTCACAATTGGAAAAAAAAAAAAAAAAAAAAAAACCCGGGAAGGGTGGTTCATACCTGTAATCCCAGCACTTTGGGAGGCTGAGTTGGATGAATTGCTTGAGCCCAGGAGTTCCAGACCAGTCTGCACAACATGGCAAAACCCCATCTGTACAAAAAATACAAAAACTAACCAGGTATGGTCATGCACGCCCAGCTACTTGGGAGGCTGAGGTGGGACAATCACCTGAGCCCAGAATTTCAAGGATACAGTGAGCTATGATTGTGCCACTGCACTGCAGCCTGGGTGAAAGAGTGAGACCCTGTCAAAAAAATAAAATGAAATAATTTTTCAAAAAGAGCAGAAAGCTGAGGATTTGCCTTTGGAAAGCATTCATTTTTATTTTTATTTGTTATTATTATTTTTTCGAGACATGTTCTTGCTCTGTCGCTCAGCCTGGAGTGCAGTGGCGCAATCTCGGCTCAAGGTAGCCTCTGCCTCCCAAGTTCAAGTGATTCTCCTGGCTCAGCTTCCCATGTAGCCGGGACTACAGGCGCAGGCCACCATGTCTGTCTAATTTTTCTATTTTTAGTAGGGATGGGGTTTCACCATGTTGTCCAGGCTGGTCTCAAACTCCTGACCTCAAAGTGATCTACCTGCCTCGGCCTCCCAGAGTGCTGGGATTACAGGCGTGAGCCACCGCTCCTGGCCACATTCATGTATTAAAAAGACTCTTTTAATTCCTCCTCTTTAAAGGCGAGTATACTCAAGGATCTATAGGTATTTTTTTTTCTAGGTATATATTCATTTCCTCAGTGAGTTCCTCTAATTAACAAAGTTTTTTTTTAGTCTTTTGTAATTAACATTTTTAATAGTCACCAGGAGCCAGACCCTGTGTTAGAAACAAGAGGATATAAAAATTGTTCACTGTTGCTTCATCTTAGGAAGTAATTGGGCAATTAAAAAATATTTTAGTGGCAGCCCACAAATTCTGGTGTGCAAAGAACTTGAAAAACACTTTACAAACAAACAAAAAACCTGGAGGCTTGGTGGCATGCACCTGTAGCACCAGCTACTTTGGAGGATGAGGCAGAAGGATTGCTTGAGCTAGGGCAGTCAAAGCGCAGTGATCCGTGATCATGTCACTGCACCCCAGCCTGGATGACAGAGGGAGACCCTGTCTCAAAAAAAAAAAAAAAAAAGAAAAAGAGAAAAGGAAGAAGAAAAAGAAAATATTTTATTCACCTTATTCATCTTTATTTATCTTTATTTATCTTTTTTTTTTTTTTTTTTTTTTTGAGACAAGGTCTCTCCATCACCTGGGCTGGAGTGCAGTGGCACAGTTATACCTCATTGCAGCCTCAAACTCCTGAGCTCAAGCTCCTGCCTCAGCCTCCAAAGTAGTTGGGACTACAGGTATGCACCACTGACCCTAGCTCTTTTTTTTTTTTTTTTTTTTTTTTTGTAGAGACAGGGTCTCACTATGTTCCCCAGGCTGTTTACCTTCATTGATTCCTTCTCTAATGCTCTTTGTTTTTAAAATGTTGATCCAAGTTTCTGACCTGCATCATTTTCTTTCTCTCTCAAGGATTTTTAACATTCCTTGCAAGGCAAGTGTACTGGTGACAAATTCCCTCAAATTTTGTTTGCCAGAGAAAGTCTTTCTCCCTTACTATTGAAAGATAATTTCACTGGATACAGAATTCTAGGTGAGTGGTTTTTTTTTTTTTCTTTCAATACCTCAAAGATTTCACTTTTCTCTCCTCTTGCTTGCACAATTTCTGAAGAGAAGTCTAATGTAATTCTTATCCTTACTCCTCTGTAGGCAAAATGTGTTTTTTTCCTCCTTTTTGCTTCTTTCAAGATTTTCTGTCTCATGATTATGGTTAGGTGCAGATTTTTTGGTATTTATACTGCTTAGTGTACTCTGAGCTCCTGGATCTGTGGGTTTTTATCCATCGTTAATTTGGGGAAATTCTCAGTCATTATTGCTTCAAATTTTCTTCTTTTCTTCTCCCTCTGGTATTTCTGTTATGTATATATTACATCTTTTATAATTCTCCTGCCATTTTTGGATATCTGATTTTTTCTTTTTTTCTCTTTGCATTTCAGTTTTAGAAGTTTTTTTTCCCCCAATTTTAGAAGTTTCTATTTATATTCCTTCAAGCTCAACTTCTTTGTCTCTGAAGTTTATTGATGGAGCCCATCAAAGACATTTTTCCTTTCCGTTAGTGTTTTTTATCTCTAGCATTTTCTTTTGATTCTTTCTTAGAGTTTCTATCATTCTACTTACACTACCCATCTGTTCTTGCATAATGTCAACTTTTTTCCATTACAGCCCTTAACATATCAATCACAGTTAATATAAATTCTTTGTATAATAATTCTATTATCCATATTATAATAACATTCTTGCCATACCTGAATCTGATTCTGATGTTTGCTCTGTCTTTTCAAACCGTGTTTTTTGTCTTTCATTAAGTGTTATCTTTTTGCTGAAAGCTGGACAACATTTACTGGGTAAAAGGAACTGAAGTAAACAGGCCTTAGTATCAGGTTTTATGTTTATCTGGCTAGGGATTAGGCTGTGT